GGGGTTTTTTCAATCAGAGCTTTGATTGAATGCTTTGCCATCCTCAGCACTCACATACTCACAGATACACACACGTTGACAGAGAGTGTCTTGAACAACATCATTTACCACTTAGGCCCCTCCCCGAGGACCGTGCCATCCCTAATGCGCAGCAGATACGTTGATAGCTCTGGTTTCTGTCGAGAAGTGCACGTCAATCAACAGCTCGCGTCAACGTCACCAAGGCAAAGTGTTCCTGAAAGATCTTTTAACTGAGTGCCTTTCTATCCATCCTCCACCAGCCGACACCCACAGAAAAAAAACAACACTCACGCATGCACAAACACACACACAGCCATTTCCATCCAAGCAATCACTTCTCCGAGAGTTCTTCTTTTTGGACGTGTAACAGTAATTGAGGTTGCTCCCCTGGGTGCAGTGCATTCTGGGCCGTTAAGTGCTGTTTCTTGTTGTTTTTTCCCCCTTCAAATGGGCTGTATTTTGGCTATTGTGTTGTTTCTTTCTTCTCTCCCTTAGAAGTGTAAGCGATGGGCCGTATTTACATGTATCATTAGAAAATAGAAACCGTGTCCAGTGCAGGGCCCCCGAGGGCTTATGTCACCCCCTGGATTACAAATCAATATGACAAAGAGTCTTAATACGTTTTGCACACACCCAGTCACTGGAGTATTACTAAATAAATAAATAAGACCACTCCTTGATGTTTATTTCTTCCATGTAGCACCAATTGATCTTATTTCCAAGCCAAGCATGGGTGAATCTAAAATGACACTCCGCCGTCGGACGGCTGCAGCACTGACCTCTCTGCTTGTGACATCAGGCCTGGCTTGAGCACACTCCGTGACCTTTTTTGCACGTTGATGACGTTGTGCGTCCAGAGGAGGGAGTGATTGATCTGGATTGACAGAAACAGCAAGCGCCCTGCCTGGCCTGTCACACAGCATCACTGGGTCACTGTAGCATGCCTGAATACCAGATGAGGAAGGATGGAGGGTGGTGACCCGCTGGATGTGATGGAGGTTATGGTTCTGTGGGACAGATCTGGACAAAAAAGGACAAGTTTTGGAATGGTGTAAAGGAACTGTGTCAAGTCAAACTGGAATTAAATAAACTGAAAGTAAAATGTACAACTGTACTAATGGCAGCAGAGCATAATGTTGCTAACAATTGTACTTTTTAAACAGAAACATTTAAAAAGTAGGTATATTATAGGACACTCCTAGTTACTAAGGAAAGACACAAGCTTGCAATTGTTATAGTATGTTTTGTTATGCCATTTTTCCCAAAAGGTTGCTTGGAAATGGGTGTTACATGTTGTAATTAAAATCCTAATCACCTGAAACACACCAGCACTTAATATACACATATAACACATATTACACTGTATAATACATAATATAATATAATATAATATAATTTGATAAGATAAACAAGCCCAGATAAATGGTGAGAGTTGTGTCAGGAAGGACAACTGATGTAAAACACTTTTGGCAAAACTAATATGCGAGTTGTAAAAAAATTGTCCAGATGAGACAATTTCACCTTTTTTGTTGTTAATATGCGAGTTCATCTAATAAGTGTCACCATACCGGACCGGTCGAGGCCTGGGTTAACAACGACCGCCACCGGTGCTGTTGACAAATGGTACCGGCAGAAATTGTGCTACTGTTAGTCGAAGACCACAAGGAGGGAAATGTGTCAGGAGACAGAGGGAAAAGAGGAAAGTTAAGAATGTAGGACTGAGGGCGGCAACTCTAAATGTGGGGACAATAGGAAAAGGTAGAGAGCTGCTGACATGATGCAGAGAAGGAAGATGGATGGTTTATATGTCCAAGAGACCAAGTGGAAGGACATCAAGGCTTGCAGCATTGGAGCAGGGTTCAAACTGTTTCACCATGGTGTGGATAAAAAGAGAAATGGAGCAGGAGTGGTCCTGAAGGAGGAGTTGGCAAATGATGAAGTAGAGGTGAAAAGAGAGTGTCAGATAGGGTGATGTGTCTGAAGGTAGAAGTAGAAGGTCTGATGCTAAACATCGTCAGTGGTTATGCTCCACAGGTTGAATGTGATGTGGAGAAGAAAGATAAATTTTGGAAAACTCTGGATGAAGTGATAGAGGGTATTCAGGGAGGAGAGTGTGGTGATAATGGACAGACCAGTGGAGGTTTGGAAATGTCTGTCAGTGTGCTATTTGACTCAAACATTCAATTACATATTTGAGGGTGAGAAAATACCTAAAGAATCGAGAAATGTGCTGGTGCCCATTTTTAAGAACAACCGTGGTGTACAGCGTTGTAGCAACTACAGAGGAATTAAGTTGATGAGTTACACAATGAAGATCTGGGAGAGAGTTGTGGAAACTAGGGACGAGGAGGTGTGGTACTGTATGAGTGGCAGAAAAGTATGTTAGATTGTACAGGACATGACAGCAGAACAGTTGTGAGATATGCTGTAGAAGTGACCGCTTCAAGGTGGAGGTGAGAGTGCATCACGGATCGGCTCTGAGCCCCTTCTTGTTTGCTCTGTGATGGACCGACTAATAGATGAGGTCAGGCAGGAACCTCCGTGGACTATGATGTTTGCAGATGACATTGTGATCTGTGGTGAGAACGGGGAACAGGTGGAAAAGAACTTGTAGAGGTGGAGGTATACTCTTGAAAGAAGAGGAGTGAAAGTCAGCCATAGTAAGACAGAGTACATGTGTGTGAATGAGAAGGAGGCTGGTGGAACAGTGAGGCTACAAGGAGCAGAGGTCACAAAGGTGCAGGACTTCAAGTACTTGGGGTTCACTGCCCAGGAAAATGGGGAGTGTGGTAAAGAGGTGAAAAAGAGACTCTCGGCAGGATGGAGTGGATGGAGTGGATGGAGAAAAGTTTCAGGAGTGATTTACGACAAAAGGGTGTCGGCAAAGGTCAAAGGAAAAGTTTACAAGACAGTGGTGAGACCAGCTATGTTGTATTGTCTGGAAACAGTGGCATTGACAAAAAGACAGGAGAAAGAACTGGAAGTGGCAGAAATGAAGATGTTGAGTAGTGTGAAATAAAGTTAAAGAGGCCAGATTGAGATGGTTTGGAGTCTTGGATATGCCAGAAGAGGGTCAAAGGGTATATTGGTAGAAGGATGGCACAGCTTTTGAGGCTGTTAGACCCATGAATCTCTAACCAGGATAATCACTGTGAAAAATCACATCATGTTGCTGCTGATCTGTTTCATGTGGCTGTGTTCATTCGTGCTCATCTGCTCACACAGACTCATGTTCGTGCTGCTGTTCAACGTAATGTTTTATGATATCAGTGCTTAGTGTATATTTAGTTGATGTTTGTCTTAGTTCATAACTTAGATCTTATTACTGTTTTTCTTTTGCATTTTATTATTGGATGTAACTGGGACCCTGTGTACAAAATCTCGTTCCACCACATGTATCACGAGATGAGAATGACAAATAAATCTCTCTAACTCTGACTCTGAGATGCAGCTGCCAGGAAAAGGACAATGATTCAAGGATTCAAGGTTCTTTATTTGTCATTCACACCCCATGTGAGCAGATGAGCACGAATGAATACAGCAACATGAAACAGATCAGCAGCAACATGAAACAGATCAGCAGCAACATGATGTGGTTTTTCACAGTGATTATTCTGGTTAGAGATTCATGAGTCTAACAGCCTCAGGGTAGAAGCTGTTCTTCAGTCTAGTGGTTCTGCACTTAATGCCCCTTAACCTCCTTCCTGAGGGGAATGGGGCAAAAAGTGTGTGTGCTGGGTGAGTGGGGTCCTTCATGATGCAGGTGGCCCTCTTCCTGCATCTGGAGGTGCAGATGTCTGTGATGGTGGGGAGGCTGACTCCAACAGTCTTCTGTGCAGCCTTCACTACTCTCTGCAAAGCTTTTCTTTCTGCAGCTGTGCAGCCTCCATGCCACATGTTGATGCTGGAGCACAGGATGCTCTCCACTGCACACCTGTAGAAGGAGGTGAGGACTGAGCTTCACAGGCCAGCTCGTCTCAGCTGCCTGAGGAAGTAGAGTCTCTGATGAGCTTTCTTGATCAGGCTGGTGGTGTTGTTGCTCCAGCTGAGGTTGTCGTTCATGTGTACACCCAAGTACTTGTAGCTGGAGACCACTTCCACTGCAGATCCTCTTATGTTCAGGGGGTGTAGGTGTGTTTGTTCCTTCTGAAGTCCACGACCATCTCCTTTGTCTTCTTCACATTGATGTGAAGGTTATTCTCTTTGCACCAGCTCTCCAGGTGTTCCACCTCCCGCCTGTAGCTGGACTCATCATTGTTTGTGATGCATCCCACCACCGCTGTATCATCTGCAAACTTTACAATATGACAGCCTGGATGGGTAGCTGCACAATCATACGTGAGCAGAGTGAACAGGAGAGGGTCTCTGACACATCCCCGAGGAGAGCCAGTGTTCAGGCTTATGGTGGAGGAAGAGAAGTTGTGGATCCTCACAGACTGTGGTCTGTTTGTTAAGAAGTTCAGTATCCAGTTGCAAATGGAGGGGCTTAGTCCTAGTGTGAGTAGTTTGTCCAGAAGTGTTTGGGGATCATGGTGTTGAAGGCAGACGTGAAGTCCACAAAGAGCATACAAGGAGAATATAAGAAAAAGAAAGAGGAGATACAGTATATGAATAGAGAGAATATGGAGGTAGCTGAAGTGAGGACAGAGGATGCAAAGGACAAAGTGAGATGGAGAAGGATAACTCGCTGTGGCAACCTGAAGAGGAAAAAGCTGATAAAAATATAATATAATGTAATGTATTATAATATAATTTTGTAATATAATATTATAATACAATATAATATAATTAATAAGTTTTTTTGTTTAATCACATGTTCGTTCAATTGTAAGTTTAAGCAGTTGGACGTGTTGAACGGATGTGCTTGTTTTCAACGCGATAAAAAACAAACAAAAAAAACTACGGCTCCCAGAGTGCTTTTCGCCGCCTTGATGACGTTAGAAGGGTATTTTTCTCAGTAACCTTTCCTGTCTGCCTAGTGGTGCGTTTGCGCCGCCTGTCTTGAAAGGGAGGTGAGGAATAGTTTACTTTTCAGAGTTCAAGGTTTCGTTTCGGTGTTCGTTTGGAGCAAAAGGGTTTTGCCGAGGCAGAAAGCCCCTTTTCACAAGATGCTGAACATGTGGAAAGTTCGGGAGTTGGTTGACAAAGCGTAAGTATCCCCCGACTGTACTTTAAATATTTGCATAATTTTTGCTTAGTGTACCTGTTTGAAAGAGACACGTACCCAAAACTTTGACGTCACTCCAACAAGTTAGCTAGCTTGATTGCTAATAGCGAGATAGCTAACTTTTACAAATGCCGTTTGTCTCAGTAAGAGTATCGTGTATAATTTGGCACTTTTGTTTATTTTTCTCCCATTTTTCCCTCCCATGTTTGCCTGCCATGTCGTTTGGAGCTGTGATATGACTGAACGTACTGTTCCTGTGCTTTTTCCCCCCGACGGTTCAAGCTAACTCGCCTAGCTGATATGCTAATTATGTAGTTTCCAGGCTAGCCAGCTAAGCTAGTTTGACAGCTCCTTGGTTGAATAATCGGTTAATGTTTAGAAGTCACACTGTGTCCCGTCTGGTCAATTTTTGGCTTCAGCTGTCTGAAAACATGTTTAAAACACTAAATGGGGTGAATTAAGAACTTGTTGCGGTGGCACTTGTAGGTTAGTTACGCTAGTATTTGTACTGGTTGTCAGGTATTACTATTACACATGGCTGCAGCCAAGTTGCTGAGTTATGAAACTTTTTTTTAAATTGAATAAACATAAAGTATAAACACTCTAATTTCCCTAGTTACTGCTCAACGTGATAAGCAGCCCCTCACGTAGTAAATCTGCCACTGTATTTTGATTTACAGTAGTCATGCCATGGCAAAGCAATTATTAATATACCATACCGCTTTCTTTATAAAGCACTTAAAACAGCGATAAGGCCAACCAAAGTGCTGTACAGACAAAACATATGGGGTCAATCTTATGGTGTGTTTTGCTGCTTATATGGCCACTTCATATTCAGATTTCAGTATACTGTATACAACACTGCAAAATGTTAAATTGTCCCTAATTTTTTTATATTTGCTTCAAAGAAGCCATACTTTCTTGTAGTTTATTGTCCACCTAAGATGGACCTGCGTCTTCAGGCAAAACAGGCTCCTAAATACATGTGGGGAAACTTGTGTAGTTTCAACACACAACAGACAACTCATTATGGACTTAATCTTTAGTCATGTATTTACTTGCAACCCTGTCATAATAACACAATTTTCCCCATTTTCTTTATTTTTTTGTCTTTAATAAAAATACTAACGATACCATCAACAAGTTAACTTCCAAGGAGCTACTGGCTGAAACAGTGACACACAGGAGATGATCAGCTGAGGGAAAACCATTTTTCTCTGGTCTTGTGTCAGGGTTGTGCTAGATTTGTTTCTGTTTATTTTATTATTGATATGACTCCGATACTGTTCACCTGCTGTAGAGAGGTTGTTTTTTAGTCCCGACACCGTTTTTCAGTGAGTGTGCACTGCACAAAATGCTGCCATTCATTCAACTCTTATTTATACAAGTCAGTCTCATTGTACATAGCCATGGTTAGATACAAGTACTGGACAGAAAATGAGTGTGAAAGCAGCCGAAGTTTTAGAAAAACAACACTTTGAACGACTTTTAGAAAGCCAGAAGAACTCAATCTTTTGTGTTTTTGCTACTCTGATGAGTCTTTGCATCTTTTCATGAAGGTGTTACAGAGACAATCCAGTGGGTAGTAATTTAGTACCTGAACTTTTCTGCCAGCCAACTCTGAGACTGAGTAATACTTTATTCTGTTTTGGACTGAAATTTACCTCCAGCTGCTGACAGAACAAGAGCGTGCTGTGCTGTAGGGCATTGCACAACTTTGCTTTGCTTTAAAGGTTTAGTGGCTGATTTTGTCAACCCAGATAACAAAATGTTAGTGAGTCCACTCGTAGTGTTAGTCATTTGAAAAAAACTCTTCTCCCCAAAAAGTGACCATTAAAAAAATATATTTGTTGGTTTAAAGCATTTGCTTTTCTTTGATTTTCTCTTGTTTCTTTTTGTTTGATGTCAGGGATTAGAAGATAGAAGATGTTTCTTAACACATTCAGTTAAAAATAAGATTTAAAAAGCACTAATATTAAAGATAAAATTTGTTACAGTTTATGAGCAGCATTGGGAAATGTTTTGACACAGCATTATAGCAGCAAAAATGTGTGTGATAATGTGTCATTGTGGCCTGTGGGAGCATCACAACTTCTGCTTGATCTCACCGATAGCTGGAAAAGCAGCCATCTCTTTAAAGAGATAAAACATTACATATCTGCATCATGTCCTCCGGTGGTTTTCTGTCAGACGCTCGAGAGCCGTTCTTTATTTTTGCACCTTGAGTTTTATAACATGTTACTTAAAATAGGCAGACTCAAAATTAAAAGGATTCAAGCTTCTTTATTATTTTGTTTATTATTTTTGTCTAAAAGAAACTGAAGTAAAACAAAATTGCTTCTTTTTCAAGTCTTGCCTAAGACTGAACCAGATGTTGCCTGAAGAATATTACCACCAGTTTTAGGTTAAAGTTTTATGGCTGTCTTGGACCTTTCAGCAGTTCCTGTAAGCAGTACTCCTCCTATGAGGCTGGTTGTGAAAAGCCTAGTTATAATTTTGAATACATTTTATTTTTAACAATCTTACATAGATCCTATAGAAGAGTTACCTGTTGGAGTGATAAATAATAAAGCAGTGTATTACCAGAACCATTAAAAGCTTATTCAAAACAAATTTGTGCTAATGTTAAAATGCTTCTACATTCAGTTCTTTGTTCGCCTCGCCCTGAGTAAAGTTGTGACAGAGCTTGATTAATCTGTTCTCTGTCTGGGTTCAGGGTAAACTCCTCCAGTTGTGTAAGAAACTACTTTAGTTCAAAAGTTGTGGCTCGTGTATGAGTTACACACACTGAACAGAGTGGCTATGCCTCCTTTGTGATGTTGAAAAGTAACAGCAATTGTGTCACCGGGGGGAATTGGCAGTCTGTCTTAAAACCAGTTTACCCAGTTACTGCTGAATTCACGTCAGGTAATGCCATGACTCCATCTCTTTTTACAATCAGGAAGACTTTAATTGTGATTTAGAAGCTATATGGTACAAAAGGGTTTTTGCCAAGTAACACAAAAAAAATGGACATTAATGCAATGTACCCCCCCACCCCACCCCGCAGCATTTTCCTCAGAATTTATTTTTCACTATTCTGTACAAGCTAAATCAATATTTGATGCACAGCGTCTGATTTTTTTCTTCTGTTTTGTTTTGTTATCATTACAGTTCAAATATTCTTCACAAGATTGTCTGAACAAATATTACATGATAGCGTATTTTTTCTTTATTTAATTTTCTTTATCTTTATTTTTTACCATAATTCTTTGTATCATATAGTCTGTTTTGAAGAACATTTTCTATTTTTTTTTTTTTTTTTACTGAGTTTCATTTTCTTCTATGTTCAGTGTGAACAGGAAAAACTTTCACCGTCGGCACAAACTTGTTTTACTCATTACCATTTCAGTTTTAGTAATGTATTTATGTGGTGTCCAGATTTGCATTTGCTTGTTTATTTCTCTGTTTATGGAAAGCACTTTCTATTGTAGTTGTAGCTCACTAATTGACTTGGGTGTGGCTGGTACAAAGAGACCTTTCATTCATCATTATCTGTTACTGGTTTCAGTCCATCACCACACTCTGAACCCATCACCAGGTAGAATGCTTAATTTTAGCAGCATTGTTTTTTAATCTATAGCACCAACGTAGTGATGAACTACTCGGAGGTGGAGTCTAAAGTCAGAGAAGCCACCAATGATGACCCTTGGGGACCATCAGGACAGCTAATGACTGAAATTTCAAGGTAAGCAGAATTATATCCTGCTGAAAATCCTCAATGGATTTGTAAATAACCACAAACCACAGTCGTATAAATCTACTAATCCAGTTACAATCTCCATTTCTTGTTTCCTTTTTTTTTTGTATATCTAAAAAAATTTAATTTTGACCATCTTTTAATTTTATCCGTACTTAATGTGGGAAATGATATATTTCCAGAATGCTCTACTATTTCCAGCTAGAATCTGTTAAACAGTTTTTTACTGTACTGAATGAAGCCTTGTGATTTCTAAAACATGAATGACTCAGTCATTGAAAATGCTCTAAGCACAGTTTGTAAAATTAGTTTGGCCTTATTAGGAAGATAGGAAACTTGTCACTGATATTTTAGGAGACTGTGAACATGTTTTATGAATGAAATGAAAATATTTCACTATCATTTTTTTTTACTATGCATAAAATAATTTTATAGTTTTTTGTTTTATACCTGAGTTCAGTGATTGAAAAGAAACTAGCTGTATTTAAAAGATTGGTATTACCATGACTTACAAGAATATCCTTGATCAGTTTTAAATTTTCTTTAAGACTGTTAAGTAAATTATAACGGCTGACATTTTTAGAGTTAGCATTATTTGCTGCTAGGTTTCTTTTAACCCTTTGACAGGTACATTTCAATAAACTGGGTGCCTTGAAAAGCAACTTCATTACATAAATCCATAAGTTCTGTATTAGTTTACGATATCAAAGAGCACATAGGTGAACTGTCAGATATTGGGTAATAGTGTTAAGAAGGTCGAGGCACAACCTTTTTGAATTCCCAGTGTTTTCCTACCATTATACAAGCAGGGCGCCCCGCCCTGTCAACAGAAACGAGTGCCCGAACCAAACGTTAATTAAACATTGCATTTTTGTTAATGTTTTTGTTGTTATCAGTTTAGATATGCAGTCAAAAGAGAAAAATGTCAAGAAAATCAAATGAAACCCTTGAATTTAGTGTTGTTCGATTGAACTATTCAAATCTATGCGTTTGTAGACATAATGTCTTTACTGTGCCAGATTTAGTCTTTGCAAATGGTCTGAAGCAACTTTTAATACCTGAATCGTTCAAATTAAATTTCTTATTATTAAAGAAATCTGTGCACCAGAGTTTACAAAGCGATCCTGCCCCGTTATCAGTTGACATTCATTGCAAGTGAAACCTTTTCTCAAGCAAAAGACAATGACTTCCTGTCTCCTTTTCTTTGGTGAATGTTTGTGTAAACAGAGCCACCTTCATGTACGAGCAATTCCCAGAGGTGATGAACATGCTGTGGGCTCGCATGCTGAGGGACAACAAGAAGAACTGGAGGAGAGTCTACAAGGTCTGTTACAGGACCGCTGCATTACCCAACACAATCAATTTACTTAATAGTGACACTGCTAACCCTAAATGCATGGTGCCATTTTGATTACGGATATAAAATGTTACATTTCAGTCTTGTTGGAAGAATCAGTTCAGTGACCTTTTGCTTCTGTTGTTTGTTTTTACAGTCCCTATTATTGTTGGCCCATCTAATCAGAAATGGATCAGAGAGGGTTGTAACCAGCACCAGAGAACACCTGTATGACCTGAGATCGTTAGAAAGTTACCATTTTGTAGGTAAGGTATACCTTTGGTATTAATCTTGATTTTTTTTTGTTTTGTTTTTGAGTCTAACCTGTTTACTGATGTTATTCTGCACATTGAGTCTACAATATTGAGTGTTTTTGAACAATGGTTTTAGTGTGAGCTGTAATAAATAAATGGAGATTAGACCTATTTCATGCTCTGCCCTGAGGCTTTTGTCACATTTTTCTAAACTTGTAAATGTGTTTAGGATTCTAGTAGGGACACTCGGGTGCAGCAACATGTTTAACATGTATTTAACATTGCAGAGTGTGATGTCATCACAGTACGTTTCTTTTGCCTTCGATCTATCTCTAGATGAGAATGGGAAGGATCAGGGAGTAAATGTGCGTCAGAAGGTGAAGGAAATTGTGGAGTTTGTTCAGGATGACGACCGACTTAGGGAAGAACGAAAAAAGGCAAAAAAGAACAAAGACAAATACGTTGGGGTATCCTCCAACGCTATGGGGTATAAAGGTTATTGTAAGTAAAGCCTAAACACTCAATTTTCTAAATGCATTTACCATCCTGCACAATATTAGATATTTGTGATTGTATTTTTAATAAATTAGTATAAAAATAATTCACTGTTGACTCTTCTTTTTTTGTTGTTTTAATTCCTTCTTGTTAGCTGGCGACAGATACGACTCCAGTGAGAACCGAGGAAAGTGGGACGATGACTGGGACAAAAGTAAAGGACCTTTTCCCTTCAGTGAAAAGTTTGGGGAGCTCAAGGACACAATTGGTAGCACTATTGATGATACCATAAACAGGTTCAGGAAGAAGGACAGAGATGACTCACCAGAACGATTCAGGTAGGAGAAGTTTGGTGCAGGAATACCTGTAGACACGTTTAAAAAGCGAGTTTTAACTTTGTTAGAGGTTCCTGCAGAATTACTGCTATTAATCATAGTACACAAAAGAGGAATGTGTTTACACTTACCTGATTTCTTATCTTCAAACCTACTTCAAAGTATGATCATTATATTTGGATCCAATAATTGAAGGTGATTACAAAAGATATTTGACCAGCGTGTAAATCAGTCCTGAAAATCTGAACCAGCAGTTCAGAGACTGAAAATCTGTTGAGGAAAAAATGTGAAAATGTTCTTCTGTGACCCAGAGGAACGCTTCTGTTGAAGATGATTTGTTTCATTGTCCTAAAAACAGCATAACAGATGGCATACAGTGACCCACAAATTAAACATGCTCCTAAAATCAGTGTGGCTTTTTGTAGTTAATGTAATAAAAAGAAACCTAAAGTGTCAAAGTCCATGCTCAATAAACCTATTCTAAAGTGGTTACAATTTTAAGAAAATAAATTAAAGAATTGTCTTTTAATGAGGACAATCTCAATCAGATTTTAGAGGATGTTGTCATCACAGACGTCCCACTCTGAGGTCTCGTCGACTGAGTGGTAAAAGAGTTTGTGGACAGTTTGAGCAGCTTGAAAATGCAGAAAACTGAACTAATATGGGAGAAATAGTTTTGTAATTGACTGTATGAACAAATTCAGAAGAAACAAAAAATGGAATTATCTTAATATATAAATGAGTTAAACAAAGCCTCGAGTGTGACTTCAAAATATTTTTATTAAACAACTAAGCTCCATAGTAAACCATGAGTTGCCCAGTAATTATTATTGTATCTGTGTATCAAATGTCTTGAGGACAAAAACTTGAACTATTTGTCAGGTTCATTAAACAGTCACTCGAGTTCTTGTGGTCTCACATTTTTACAACAAACTTGACTTTTGCATCCAACCAGGCTTTTAAATTCCTTAAGGTATTGCTTAGGTGTGTAATAATTCAAGTCTCAACTATTTATTATCCTTAAAACCAGAAGTCCACGAACAGAAAACATCCCTGCTTTATTTTTCCTCAACACGTTTTTTCCTCCACAGTGACCACGAAGAGGACCGCGATCGTTCGTCTTACAACGGTCGGTCGAAGAAAGAGTTCAAGGATGAAGAGGAGACTGTTACAACCAAGAGCGTACAGATCGTCCAGGCAACAGAAACAACAGCAACACGAAAGAAAGGGGTACCGTCTAAAAAGGTGGACCTGGGAGCTGCAGCTAACTACACAGGAGACAAGAGCCCAGAAACCACTGCCAAACAGGTAGCAAATGTACATTTGATAAAAAAAAACATGATTTATTGTTATAGTTCTGTTTGCACTTATTTGTGATTAATTGTCTTAAATTCAGACCCAGCCAGCAGCTGCTCCCCAGCCTTCCAGCAGCAGCATAGCTGACCTATTAATGGTGGACACCACACCTAGTCAGCCTGCTGCCACAGGTAAAATGTAACTAATATGTAATATGACTGTGGCAACTCATCAACCATCCTACCAGGAAGTATTTATATTACCAGCTGTGTTTCTGTGGTTTCAGTAGACAAAAATAGGTTAAAGACTGGAATCACTTTAGTTGCAATTTTTACATGAATCGTGTCATCCAGAAACAATCTGAAAGGGGAAAACTCTGACTCTGTTGGAGGTGATGCTGCTCAGTTGCTGATACCAGCCTCAGATTTTGGAGACGGCAGGGGGAGGGAGTCGATGTATAGAAACTAACTCCACCAGATGTTTTTTGGAGGAGTCCCTTGTGAATGGAGAGCACACTGAACAGATGTTTGGCTTCTTCCACCTTGCCACTGCCACCACCTCTCCTCTCTCCCCTAAAACGCTCCAGGAATGCTAACTATTCAAGAACCACACCTGGCGCGTGCCCGTTTAAAACTGACTTGATTTTGTTTGTTTCTCCATGCAGACTTTGTTGGTGGATTTGCTGAGTTCGCCTCGTCTTCTGCCTCAGCTGGACCGTCCTCAGGATCTGGTATGTTTCAGGTTTTTTTGTTGGTGTGTGTCTGGGTATGCTGTCCTGTTGCAGTTGTACTGCTAGAATATTCAGAGGAATGTTGGGGCGGCGGGTGCCCGGCCATATGGAGCCTGCTACCTGCTCTGCATAATAAGAACAGACACACATCAACTCCTGTTATGGATGACAAGGAGACAGGGACAGAAGGAGTTGGTCGTGGGGGTGGAAGGAGGCAACAGGACCGGGCCAGTTCAATGAAAAATTCAAACGTGGCGCTAGTGGTCGCTGAAAATTTCCTGGAAAAACTTTAACGAGGCTCACAAAATGTTTTTTTACATGCTCACATTTTCTTGTATAGATTCTCTGCTCTGAGTTCCTACAATAAAAATTAAGACATGGATGGCAAGGATGGACAATAATTTCTGTTTGTTTTTTTCCTACCATGTGGCTCCAGCTACGACCTCTAGCACCAATGGAGAGTTTGGTGAGTGGAATGCCTTTCCTGGAGGTCAGATGCCAGCATCTGCTCAGCGTGCTGACATAAGTGGAAATGACTTTTTTGGAGCCATGACAGCAGTTTCTCCCACTGCCCCTGCGCCTGCCACGGTTCTCGCTCCAGCCTCTGGTCTCGCTTCAGCAGACCTGTTTGACTTGATGGCACCAACTCAATCCATCACCTCCTCCCAGAGCCTCAACTTCAGCATGAACAGCACACAGAGCATGAGCACCACAGTCTTTCCACAGTCCATGTCACAGGTACGCTCGGCTGCACTCAAAAACACATGAGCGATCTTTATTAATAATTAATTTACATGATATCAATGTCAAACTCGTGGGTTTGGCATAAACAGAATACAGTTTGAAGTAAAACATCCACAGATCAAACTGCCATGCTCTCGTGTCCCTTTAGAGACCGTTTTTGTTTCTGGGTTATACTTTTTCTTAAAATAGATAGTTTATACAAATTATAACTAAATGGCAAACAGCCTGGGAGTGGTGGTGCAGAGGTTAGAGAAGGTGGGCCTGCGATTGGAAGATTACTGGTTCAGCTCCTGGTACCGACAACATCAAAATGTGGGTGGGATTGATGAAACACCCACACCTGCCTCCACCTTCATTTGCTCCACTCTGGGCCCCTGAGCAAGGCCCTTAAGCCCCATCATCTGCTCCCCCGGGTGCCCTACATGGCAGCTCTCTGCTCCACACAGTGGTCTGTGGTTGTGTCAGGAAGGACATGCGTCGTAAAAACAATTGCCAAGTCTTCATGCGACTTAGTTCTCTGTGGTGGCCCCTGAAGAAGGGAGCAGCCGAAAGAAGAAGAATTTTTGCCCAGGCACTTTGATCTGTGTATGAGCTGGCATTGAACTACCAACTGCTGTTTCTCTTAAACCACAGCTGCCCAAATACTTTTAAAAAAGGTATATTATTATTATTGTAAAAATATTATTATCGTAAATATTGTCATTGTAAATACTGTAAAGCTCCTGTTTAAATACGAGTGGTGGTCACGCTCCAGCCAGCTGAGCTTTAAAGTTGACACGTTTTCTAACACCAGTCTTAACATGAAGTGTAGAACCATTTCACTGTTTGTTGAAGGTTTTTAAATTGTTTGTTGCAGTGGAACGGCTGAGTTATTTATGCATTCTTAAATGCAGACGTAAGAACTTGAAATGTTCATTAGAAAGTAAAAAAATAAAATAAAAAACAGTCTGATATGCCAGTGGATAGGGAAAAAAAAAACAGAAAAAAAATGCTGGTCATAAGATCACAGATAAGCAAAGTTAATAAATAAATAAGGTATTTAATGTTGGTTATTAAGGCAGCACGGTGGCACAACTGATAGAACTGCTGCCTCTCAGCGAGAAGGTTGCTGGTTCAAATCCCGGTTCGGGGGCCTTCCTGGGTGGAGTTTGCATGTTCTCTCCGTGCATGCGTGGGTTTTCTCCGGGTACTCCAGTTTCCTCACACAGACCAAAAACATGCATGTTAGGCTGATTGGTAACTCTAAATTGTCCCTAGGTGTGAGTGAGAGTGAATGTTTGTTTGTCTCATTTGTCTCTGTGTCCCTGTGATGGACTGGAGACATGTCCAGGGTGTACCCCGCCCCTCACACAGTGATTGCTGGACATGGGCACCGGCGACCCCCGTGACCCAAAATGGAAGAAGCGGGTAAAAGCTAATGGATGGATGTTGGTTATTAATGATCACGATCCAGAAGAGCACTAAAAGCATCAGGGAAACGGCAATGTTTCCAGTTTGACCGTAGCTTGTTGCCATGGTGACACTTACTCCACCTTCAGTATAGTTTGTCAGCTTGTTTAATGGAGAAAAGTGCCCATTAATGTACCAACTTAGTTTTAGAATGACTTGTCATTCATAATGGCTTTAGTCCAAACCCCCAACACAAACCAGTCAGGAACAGATCATCAATGCAATCTGGCAACGGTAAGAAAAAATACCCGTTTGTCTGTGTGGGGTAAGAACAATGATTATACTAAGATTATTCCTTTTGCTTTAATTTTTCGCTCATGTTTCCAGTTACATTCTATTACTGACCAGTACTATGTCTCAAGTTTAAATCATTTTAGCACTTGAAATATGAACACAGAGGTGAACTTCCTGTTTGATCGTGTCAAATGTGAACTCGAACAATAAGCCCCGACTCTACAGTCCACTACATTTCTTAGCCAGAAAGCCTGTGCTGCAGAGGCTTGTTGTGTGAGTGGAAGACAGAGGGCCAAAATGATTGTGGAACATTAACGTTCAGCTTCAACAGATGCAGACCTCCCCCAGAGACCCCCCGCTCCCCCCGTTACTGACACAGAATGAAAAGAATGAGATGTGACTTTCAAGAACACAACAAAGGCTTTTATATGTGGACTGGATTTTTATGTAAAAAGGTTCTTGACCTACTTAAAAACTTTTTGTTTTGATGACCCCACCCCTGGTTGATCCAGTTGCTTTAGCAGATTCCTCTTTCAGACTCGGAGGGTTAACACAGTTAAGGTTTGAGGCTTTTAAATCAAGAAAAGGCAAAAGCACAGTGTTTAATCTTGAACCGTGTTCATCTGTGGGATGTCTGGTGTGAACGCTCTTTCTGCAATGTTGTATCAGTGCTTACATGTTTGTGTCTTTACCATCCAGAACATGGGGGGTCCTCTACAACCACAGCTGGTGCAGCATGGAGGGGCCTCTCAAAGCGCAGGAGCCAAAGCGTCTCTCCCGTCCACCTGGTCGGATCACTCTGTTAACATCAGCCTGGACTTTCTGGGCCCAGGCATGACTCCTCCTAAGCCAAGCCAGCCTAGTCTCAACACCCTCCAGCAAGGTGAGCGTAGGCAGCGACGCACACCGTCAGTTTTTCCCTCTGAAACATCTCGTCAGTAGAGGATTTTGGAATTTAACCCTTTTGTTTGTTTCCTCGTGTTATTTCCAGGCCATCCAGCACCTGCCAACATGCTCTCCCAGGGATTTTCAAATATGAGTATTGGAGCAACGACAGTCAGGCCACCTGTTAATACCATGATGCACCCTGGTGCTAGCATGGGGATGGGCATGGCTCCTAACCAAGGCATGATGGGGATGGGCATGAACATGGGGATGCCACAGGCAGGTATGACCATGGGGATGCCTGGTGCCATGGGGATGGGAATGGGGATGAACCCTCAAATGATCCAACAGCCCAAACACGATGCCTTTGCTGACTTTGGCAACTTTGGAAAGTAATGGAAGCGGCAAGCAAAGATTATCAGAAGTGGTGGCAGTTTCTTGCCGTCCATTGGTGAAGGATCATCATGAGCTCCAAACAAAGAGTACTTGAAATATCGTCAGCTATCTTCTTACCAACACCCTGCAATCTGTTTTTTTTAAAGTTATGTAGTGATGTGGATCTAAATGAATGTGTTGATTGAACCAATGATCTGTGCGGTCTAGGATGGTGGTTAGACAGACTCACTGGTGTGTCGTTTGATTCACGAGTCGATGAGAAAAGTGCCTGAGAAAGTAGGGATTTGCTTTATAACCTCAAATCAAGTGAAATCAGATTAGTGAAAAACATTAGCTGCAGGACTTTTTTGTTGCTGTTGTTGTTGAGAACACCTTCTCAATATCTTAATCGTACATTTGGGTTACACCATCGGCCATTTTAACTTTCTAACGTATATCGAAGAATGTCAAGTTACCTCCTTGTTTTTCTGTCTTCCTATATGTAAATAGAAATTTTGAGCCCCTCCAGTAAGTTATGAAGTTACGAGAGACAGAAACAGTGTGTCAAGTTGTATCATACAGACCAGACCCGTGTGAATGAAGATCTAAACGAAGCATGTTATTACACAAGTGGTACACTTGGAGGTTTTTCCTAAAATGTTTGCAGAGAAAGCTGTAAGGAATGTTTTGTTTGTTTCTTCAGTAAAATGAAAACAATGGCCTTTCTTATTAGAATATATCTATATTTTATACTTATGAAGCATACAGGTCGGTTTGTGTCCAAGATAATCAAAGAGAACAGTTTCTTGCGGTGCTTGAGGGTCTTCATTCCAGCACACAGTTCCTGAAAAATCTGCCTTTTCTCCTCTAACCTGACGGAGACCGTGGAGAAAACTGTCACAATGAAGTTTGTCCTGTGTAGCCAGGTATGCTGTCTGCAGATATTCATGTAAACTAAATCGTTTTACAATGTTCCTTCATCCCAAGCACCTTTTGTTTTAAAAAGAAAATGTTTCCGATCTATTCACGTGCTTGCACACACACACAGAGGACCTCAGGTTTGATCTCGGACTGTAAAAAGCATCAGTTTCATGTTACTCTGTGCTTCTTGGTAAAACAGCAGCTTCGTTTCACGAACGTTGCATATCAACACGACAGCGGTGTCGATTTATCGTAACAATCACCTTCTTGTGTTTTACAGCATAAAGTTAGAAAATGATTTGAGGGAAAGCACTTTTATGAGCTGCGGGGTGCAGACTGTGCACACCCAGAATGTGGTGATCTAAATAAAAAGATCTGGAGGGTTGGCCCATAATAATCTGCCCCATTCTGCTGTACACTACAATGCCTCACCTCTGCTGCAAGTGCCTCCTGATGGGTGCTCCTGACCCTCATTGATGATCAAAACTGAATTGTGTGGCCTGACTTTTTTTTTTTTTTTTTTTGTACGTCTGAGATAAATAATTTACTGACAAGAGGACGGTGGACTCAGCGGCCTCAGGAGGACGAGGACTGAGCTTGTACTTTCCTTCTCTCCCAAGGGCTCGAGAGGCTGAGCACAGTAACACAGTAGCCTTGCACTGATGTCTCAAGCATTCAAATGACCAAAATCTATTTTTTTCTATTGTATATCAGTAGAAAATGCTTTTGTTTGTTTTCTACTTTAAATCAATCTGCTCCTTTTTAAAACCGAGTTACTGAAACACTAGGATATGCAATTGTACGAAAATACAAAATGACCTTTTTTTTTGTGTGTGTGCATTATTCCCATTCTGATTTGATTTCCACGTCCAGATCCCTTCTGGAGAACATTAAACCGTTGATTTAAAATTGTTAATGATGTGTGTTATTTGGTGCGCTGTGTCATTAGCCTCATTCAAAAGTGCTTCAAGCAGCAAAAGTGAAGCTGAAGCGCTTGGTTTAGAAATTGCTTTCACTTAATGCGAGTTTAACTTCGGTGTGTGTGTGTCGTTTATAAAAGAAAGATCACCAGTAAACGTTAGCCAAGCACATTTGACCAACACCAGGTTATTACTGGGACAGATGAACTAACAGATGCTTCAGTTAAAGTGGTTCATCTTTTTAATTTTTCAAGCTCCGATAATTCAAACAATTAAAATTCACTTTTTCTGCGAGTTAGAAGGACGTCCTACATTTTTCCTCCTCAGCACAAAGAGGACACAAAGTTTAATCTAATTCTGGGTCATCTTTTTACAATCAGTGTCGCGCCCTCGTACTGGATCAAGATTTGTTTGAGCGCACTTGTGTGACAAACACGACTAAAACACGGCTCGCATTAAACAATTGACCCCCTTTTTTACCTCTCTGGAGACGACCATTAAATTGGCTACACTAATAATATTCTAATATATGAACAGTATATACAGTAAATGAGCAAAAGTTCAACTAATGATAAAATGCGCCCCACTTGTGACTTACAATATATGGAAAGAGGGTCATTATGTCTGCAGTCAAATTAAGAAACTAAAATAGGAAGAACTTTCAGACCCGAAGACACAGCCGTGACAATCGTTCTGTGCCACTTATCGTCCAAAACTAACCTATTTAAGAAATAAAAAAGAAGCTACATCTTTACAACTTCCACATGATGCGGTAAATTGTGCTTTTATGGGTAATGTGCCCATTAAAGAGTAAAAAGCAATCTGAGACGTCAAGACAAATGACAGCTTTTGAGTGCCATCTGCAATCTGGAGCTTCACAAACTCAATTATTCATAATGCATTTATGAAGTCCGCTGAGACCGCGCTGTCATCCCCGCTCAAACTAACGGGAAAAGCAACATAAAGGGACAAGATCTCCAAGATGACGATGGCTTCACATGGCTGGGGGGGGGGGGGGGGTGCACATCTGCTGCCACCTGCTGGGTAGCACCCAGAACGGAGACGAAAACAGTCGAGAAGCTTTTAATCCTCAAGAAGAGATCATTCCTTCCATGTATCAATATGATAGAACAGGTTGTCAGACTCGTGTGAATCTAATTAAATGAGTGTCTCACTCAAACGAGCCGCCTTGTCCAGGATGAACGTCCAGTACGAAAGTAGAAATCAGAGTGGCTGTGGGTTAACCAGAATAACGTTCTCACCACGGATAAAAAGCTGGTTGATGTGGCGCGTGTGCACCTTCCCGTACTTCTGAGGAGCCCGAGAGACGTTCTCTTCCTCCTGTTTGCTTGGAACACGTTCTGTCTCTTTGGGCTCGGCCGTCCCGTCGTCTCCTATATGGGCAGGCCGATTTGAGCAGCTTTTTGGTGTCTCTTTGGGCTCGTCGGCCTTTTCCTGGGCTTCCTGCTTCTTCACGACCTCGTGGGCTCCTGGGTTCTGGAGGCGCAGCTTCTCAAAGAGCTGGACAAAGATTGAGGTCACATTAGATGGAAGTAAAGTGTGGAACATGAAATAAGAACAGTCCGTAACATTTTATAAACAGACTAGACAAAATGTAAATAGACTATTTATATTATAGCACCTTTCTATCTTATCAAGATGCTCAAAGCTCTTTACCATCTGTGCCTCATTTATCCATCCACACAGCCCATTGGAGGCAATGAGGGTTCAGTGTCTTGCCCAGGGACACTTCAGCATGTGACTGCTGGTGGAATTGAACCCCCAACTCTTGCATTGGAGGACGACTGTTCTAACCGCTCAGCCACAGCCGCCCCTACGTACGTATGATCTTTCAGTGTTTTTCTAAGCAGCTGCTCGAAGGAGTTAGATTTGTTACTTAAAAACTTCTCGGCATATTTACCGAGTTGATTTTTCTTGAATTCAAATACAAAGTAAATCCCTCAAAGTTCAGTCAACTGCTTTTTCTGAACATTTTTTTGTGAGACGGTCACAAGAACTGAAGTGTATTACGCCGTGTGTGTGTGTGTGTGTGTGTCAGTCTAGGGCAGGGGTCTGCAACCTGCGGCTCTGGAGCTACCTGCTGTTCTTTGGTCCCTCTGCAGTGGCTCTTTCAAGCTTCGACCAAAACTGCCATAAAACTGAATTTGATTGTTTAAACTAACAACGAAAAAAGGATTAAAACAAACAGCTTTCCTGTCATTTCTCTTGCAAATATGTGAACACTGGAGCGAGTACAAGGAGTAAAACTAGGGGTGCACCGATTTATCGGCCCCGATTTCCTTCAATTTTGGGAAATGAGAAATCAGCCGATACTTGCATGAGAAACCGATTTGACAGATTTATTTAATTTTAACAATTGTCTGACCTTCATTTATATTTAAGAGCACTGTATCATGGCCAGTTAAAACAAGTTAGTATTGTTTCTAGGATGTTGTTCAAGGGTATGTTTTCAATAAAATAATGGAAAATTGAAGGTGCGTTGTGAACTTATAACACCTGACGGTGTCACTTATAAAACTAGATCGGAATCAGCAGATCAGACTTTGTAGAAATCGGTGATCGGCCAGAAAACGGCAATCGGTGCACCCCTAAGTAAAACATTAACTTGATGCTTCTTTATATGAAGAAGTGTCTGCATAATTTATAGATCGTTCAATTTAAAAAAAAAAAAAAAAAAAAGGTAAACACTGAGCCTGCCGCCCTTTACAAGAATCTGGTATTTTAATAAATGTTAAAAACCAGATAGTTTTTGGTTTATAATGTCACCCTTATTGGCCACAAGCCCCCTCCAGTAAGACTAAAGTGGCCCACGGGCCACCAGTTGATAACCACAGCTGTAGGAGGTTGTTGCAGTAAAAATGTCTCTTGATCATAAAGGTTGCAGACCCCTGGTACCAACATGAGACCATGATGGGCCAAACACTTAAAGCACAACTGATGCTCAACTACTGATAGGGGGGGGGGGGGGGGGGCTGTCCAATAAGTGCCAATGTGTGAATTCTTCAGAACACAAGACCTTTTTATTTAGTTATTTAGTTTTTTATGTTTTTTTATGTTTCTTTGTGTATGCTTTGTATGTTTTTATTGTTTTGTTTGTTTTTATTGTGCAGCACTTTGGCTACCCTTGTGGTTTTTAAAATGTGCTATATAAATAAAGTTGATTGATTGATTGATTGATTGATAGTTTTAGTTTAAACTTTTGGTCAATGGTTCATATTATGAAGGCAGTATCAAACATTTGGACTTGAGTCAGTAACTTTCTGCTTTCTGTGTGTAGATTCTCAACAGCCAAATATTAATGGTACTTACTCGTGACATTGTGAGGGCCTTGTCATGGTAGAGTGCCTCTCCAAGTAGAGGCTCCCTGTAGGTCTCGTCTACGTCAACCATGGCCTGCCGTAAACAAGAAACAGTCTCCAGATCCCAGACTCGGTACGAGATCTCTGACAGGACGAACAAAAGTACAATGAACAGACTCACCATGTTCCAGAACTTGTCGAAGGCCACGACAAAGCCCGAGCACACGCCCCTCAGCCCTTTAAAGGTCCTGATGTGAACTTTGACCCTTATCCTCTCCTGAACGCAGCGGTGCAGCTCTCCCAAAGGACTGCCCTTACACACTGAGGACACAACAAGCAGGTCGTGTCTGGTACGACTCAGAAATCACGTAAAGCTTTCCGTTTTTAAACAACAGGTAAAACAACGTAAAGCTGCAACTACGGTAAATAAACTGTAATATAAAGTGAGACTTAGGTACTACAATTATCTTTTGTTGAAAAATTAGATGCACAATCTCATGAAAGTGTTATTGATACAACCACAGTAAAGGTTATAATTTGGTGTATTTAATATCTGTAACGAACAGATTGAGTCGTTTTTATTGTCCATCTTGAATTGGACTGGCTCCACAAGTTAACTGTCTGCAGAGGTACAGCCAATGATCGCCAGCCAGTGCTTTATGAGATATTTTGCTAACAGACAGAGCTTCAAATAGTTAATGGCAAACTTTCAATGAAAGATTTTTTTACAGTGTGTTAGCGCTCAGTCAAAATGTGTGTTGGGGATCAGTTGAAAGTACTACCACGCCAACATTTAGCTCAGTAAACATAAAGCTGACTGTTGTAGCCATGTTTGTGTTGTTTTCATTTCAGTCAGTTGTGGCAGATACACAATGAGCAAAACATGTGCATTCACCTTTCAGTGAGGGCAATAATAACAGAAAAATCTGCTTCCAAGTACTGGTACTTTTTCTTTGTTTCCAAGTACTGATCAGTACTTAGTGCACCAACAATCTTGAAGTTTGATCTTCTGCTGAAATCCAGTGAACGTAATTGTATTGATTTTCATACCCACAACAGAAAAGGTTAATTTTGGCAGTTTTATTGTGACATTTTTGCCTGATAACTACTAAGATAAGAACTTTATTGATCTTGCAGGAAATTGTTGAAGTAGTAGGTTTATGTCGGCTGCTCCCTTCTTCGGGGGGGGGGGTCACCACTCGCATGAATGATTTGGTCATTTGTTTTACGCTGGATGTCCTTCCTGACATAGCCTGGGTTTGAACCCACAACCTCAGGATTACAAGGCCGCGGCACTGGCCACCAGTCTACTGCAGCCCCACCTGATGCGCATTATTCCTCACATAGACTGGCACACTTCAGTCAGTGTTAGCATTCTTATCAAAACTGGTATAAACCCGTGACACAAAATGGAAGAAGCGGGTAAAGATAATGGATGGATATGATCTTTTTTGTCTTAAAAATGTAAAAATATCAATAAATGTTCAAATTCATTATATAATTTTATAGTGTCGCCCCCACTGGCCAGAAAAGACCCCCTGCAACAAACTCAGTGGCCCATGGGCCATCAGTTGATAATGTCAGATGCAGGTTCTGTGGCTCCAGACACGTTTATCCATTTATATTTAGAAGATGCGTTTTTCTTGCAGGCCCAAATAACTCCACATAGAAAACGTGTCATGAGAGTGTTGGTGGTGGTGAACCTACACGCCATCCTGCTCAGGACATTTTTTGGAGGTTTCTGCCTCCTCCTCCTCGGCTGGCTGCTGCTGCCTCCCCCCTCCTCCGACACCGGATTATTCACCATCAGCTTCTTCAGCCTTTCGATTCGTTCCGGGTCCGCCACCCCCTTCATGGCTTTTCTCCGCTTTTTCTCCACGTTCTCCGGTTTAGCTCGGCCCCGGCCTCCCTTCAGAAAGCTCTCGTACGCAGCCACATTGTTGAAGCACTTCATGTTTGGGAAAGGAAGCGGCGGTGAGGTCGGAGAGTACAAGGCCCGCAGAGGGTTAAACTGCTCGGAACAAACATTTATGTTATCTGCGTCGTCATCTTCGACGTTAGAATCTGTCTCCCGCTCGTGCTCCGGCCGTGATACTGTTTTGTCACTGTCTGACTCTCCGCTCGCTCGTTCCCTCTCCTCCATGTTTGAAACGAGCGCAGAAGACTGAAGCAAAGGATCATGGGTAAAGTTTCTGCCGGTGGTGTGCCTGAGAATGTATCCCGTAGTTTGTGGTTTACTGTACTTTGATGAAACGTGGGCAACACTGTTTTTCTAAAAAAAATAGTTACAAATAGTTAATTTGGTAAAACTAGCTAGAATTAAATTATTCGCGCTACTGAAAAGTAAGGTCATGATTTTACACTTACTCTTTGGCACAACGCCTGTTCCATCCGTTTAGACAAAGCTTAGCTCTTCTTAATCTTTCAAGTGATGCATCTTTACTTATTTTTATTTACATTTTGTAAATTTATAGCCTTATTTCGTCTGTCACAAACTGGACAAAAAGCGCTCAGACGTGCTAACATTTGACCACAAGATGGCGCTATAACACAACCCTGCTTTGGTGTTGTCCAACTCCGCTCCCCTCTAAATAAACCATTGAGCAATAGAATAATATTTAATACATAATAACAGGCTTATTTAAAAAAATTATCAAAGAAGGAATCCGATATTTTTTCATTAGACAACGATGCTTTTTTATTTATTTTATTTTCCACAGAACTAAAGTTTGTGGTGCTTGAGGTGGTAGGACAGATTTGATTGACGGACTGAACGTAAACGAACGTGAGCGAAGCTATTGTTTTTGTATTGCTTTTTCTTAAAGCAAATCACAAATAATATAGCTGTTTAGCCTTATTTTTAGTCATTAAAAAGCTGAACTTACTAAACTACTGTGATTATGTGAGTAAATTAAAAGAATATATTCAGGGTTAGGCTAACTTGCTTACATTATACTTGACATTGGGTCAGAACTAGTGTGAGGTTGGACATTATTATTGTAATTTCCAAGTATTAGTCTCGTTATTTTTAATTTGGAATTGAGTTCAAATTGAAGTAATTTTGGCTTTAGTGTGGCTTTTAATGTGTCAACTGTTTCTTTTCAGAAACCTAATGTTGATCAGAAAAGCACTCAGACTTGTTGCAGAAGGTAGGTCCTTTTTCCCCACAGTCTTTGTCCGTCTGTTTACTAATTCCAGCAGCATGGCCAAGAGCAAGTTTGAGTATGTCCGCAGCTTTGAAACAGACGACACATGTCTGAGAAACTGCTACATTGTTGTCAGACTCGATGGTCGCAACTTTCATAAGTAAGTTTGATCCTTATTTTACTGTAAAGTTAAGGTTAGGGTTTGTTTTAGGCTTCTGTTTTGACTTCCTCTATGCCGTTCAATCTGTTTCAGGTTTTCAGAGCAGCACAAGTTTACAAAACCCAATGACGACAGGGCTCTGGGGTTGATGACCAGGAGTGCACGCTCTGTCATGGAGGAACTGGATGATGTTGTTATTGCTTATGGTCAAAGTGACGAGTTCAGCTTTGTTTTCAAGAGGAGCTCCACCTGGTTTAAAAGAAGAGCAAGGTGTCCTGTTTTACTGACACTAAACTTCTAGTATGCAGCACTTTTTGTCTGACTCTTATTCCTCCTTTCTTGCAGTAAGCTCATGACCCACGTGGCTTCTCAATTCTCCTCCTCGTACGTGTTCTTCTGGAAGGAGTTTTTTGGAGAACACCCCCTCTTTTACCCCCCAGGCTTTGACGGACGTGTGATTTTGTATCCCAGCAACCGTAACCTTAGAGATTATCTCAGCTGGAGGCAAGTAGACTGTAAGTAAATACGATGTTCCAACAGATTTATGAAAAAACTGCACATTGGGATAAAAATGTGATATTTGTCTGTGTATGGTTTTATTGTTCCAGGTCACATAAATAATTTGTATAATACAGCATTTTGGACGTTAGTTCAAAAAGGAGGACTCACAACAATTCAGGCCGAGGATCGCCTAAAGGTGAGAGCAAATACACAGTTAGTGTTAACAAATGTCTGATTAGATCAAATAGATGTTGTAATTTTGAACAATTATACACAAGCATCTAAATTCTAGTTGCATCTATTCTATGGATTTTTGAAGCATACATGCATCCATCCACATGAACTAAGTTAGTTTTGACCAAATGTCAGAGTAGTTTATAACAGCTCAGAGTAGTTTATAACAGCTCAATACTGTACAGTTCATCCAAACTGCCTGTTCTTTGCAAACTTCTTCTCTGATATGTTCATTTGACATTCTTATTAAATGCATCTGTTATTACAAAAAAAAAATAGCATTTATGTTGACTAATTACAGAAAATATCAAACAAGTACAAATAGGGTCAGGTCTAGTCAACTTTTAGTTTTCTCTCAATATAATGTACCGCCATTCCTGTATTTCAAATTTACAATACAAAAAATTAGTAAAATATCACAGCTTGATCCACTTGGTCAGAATTGAAAAGATGAAAAACAATGAGAGAATTAAAAGCAATGAAGCATTTCAGGTGTTTGTTTTTTCCACCGTTACATCTGCTGTCCGTAGGTTTAGAGCAATATTGGGTTGCATTTAATTCATTTATTTTATTGTCATTTCTTTCACACATTCTTGATTTGGGGCGAGTGAAATCTGCAGTCCAGTGCATGTATCTTCTTCTTCCATTGCCACAAATGTATAATGACTCATTACTTACTAATTCATTATTACTAATTAATTATCACTTACTTACTTCAACCATCCCTAATTTTGCTTCAGACAAGCTAGATTTGGATTGTGCATGAAAAGCAGACATTAATGTTGATTAAATTAAACTGAGCTTACAAAATACTGTTTACTGGTTTCACTCAAGTTGCAAGAAATAATAATGAACTCAAAGAAATTTTGGGGGAAAATCTAAATAAAATAAAAATAATACACCAATTTTGTCTTCTGATAAGGTTTGATGAACGCTTTGACAGTTTGTCTGGAAAAAACAGAAGCTGGTTAATTACAGAATTTGCAACAAACATGTATTTTAAAGTTCATCAGGTTCTGCATGACTTCATGTCAGGAGCAGCTAGCAGCAGCTGGCTGAGACTGATGCAGCTGTTCTCTGAAAGTCATTTCATTTTCCACCCCACTGTCAGCAAATGTTTATTCTAACTGGTTGTTTAGACAACTTGAGCCATTAATACTTCATCAAACTCTCCCATTAACATCAGAGACCTTTTCACTCCAGTTATAGAGTAATTTATACCTTATATAACCACATGGTGGTGCTATTTTTTGCAATAATTAGAAAATAAACGATGACTTGCAGTTTAGGAAGCTGTTACTTGGGCATTTAGTCAGGCTTCAAGCTTTTGATCATTTTGTACATATCTTTGTGATATTTGCAAATGTTAAACTTTTATTTTCTTTATTTCAGGGAACATTAGCTTCAGATAAAAACGAGATCCTGTTCTCAGAATTTGACATCAACTATAACACAGAAGCTGCTGTTTACAAGAAAGGCACCACTCTCATCTGGGAAAAGGTAAAACCGCTACAAACAACAACAACAACAAATAGTTCTCTGTTTTAACAATCTTTTTGAAGATTTCTGTAATTAAGATTTCTGTAATTAAGCAAATTTACTACATTGGACAAGTTTGTGTGTGATCACGAATCACACACAGTCTGATGTGTCCATTGTGGACCTGAAACTGCAGATCTTCAAAGACACATGTGGTCAGCTCATTTTAATAATTAAAAGCAGTGCTAATTGGACATTAAATGACTTTTTTTTTTCCTGCTACTTTCACATAATGTCATGAGATGTCATGTAAATTTTGTTAAATCCAGATGTGTTGGTTTTCATAGTTTGGACACTAGATAGTGGGAGTATCGTATTTTCTGCCGTACCCATCGCACCGCATATAAGTCTCATCAGTCCAAATATGTCTAATAAAGTGGAAAAAACATAAATACGTCACTTTGTAACGATATTATAATATCAAACGATTCTGGTCAATTTGTGGTAGTTGTGCTCCTGGACCTTACTGCTGCTATTGATACTGTTGACCACAGTATCCTTATATCACGGCTGGAACAGTGGGTTGGGATCACAGGTGCTGCATTAGAATGGTTCCGCTCATACCTGAGTGGCAGAAGTTTCTGTGTCAAGGTTGGTAATAATGTATCCGCCTCATTACCTCTTTCTTGCGGGGGTCCCACAGGGTTCGATTCTTGGACCCCTTCTGTTCTTACTTTATTTGCTCCCACTGGGGTCCATCCTGAGGAAACATGGTCTTTCATTCCATTGTTATGCTGATGACTGCCAGATCTACCTGCCTGTGAAACCAGGAAGTGTTTGCTCCATCCACCCTCTATTAAAACGTCTGGACGACATTAAGGCCTGGATGGCTTTGAATTTCTTAAGTTTTAACAATGACAAAACTGAAGTCATTGTTTTTAGCCCTAGCTCAGCTGCTGCCACTGATCCTGTCAACCTGGACTCTCTTCAGCCATATCTGAAGCAGTCTGGTAAAAATCTCAGGATGGTTTTAGACTCTGACTTCAAGTTTGACAAACAAATCAACTCTGTTTTGCAGAAAAGCTTCTTCCAACTCAGACAGGTAGCTAAGCTCAAGCCAGTGTTGTCCAGACCCGACCTTGAGAAACTAGTCCACGCCTTTGTCACGACCCGATTGGACTATTGCAACGCACTCTATGCTGGGATCAGCCAGACCTCCATCTCATGTCTTCAGCTCATCCAGAATGCTGCTGCTCAGCTTTTAACTGGAACTCGTAGGTCTGAACATATTACTCCAGTTCTGTCCTCCCTTCACTGGCTCCCTGTTTGTACGAGGATAGTCTTTAAAATTCTTTTGTTGACTTTCAAATGCTTAAATGGCCTCGCACCCCTTTACCTCTCTGAGCTTCTGGAACCTTACTTTCCCTCTCGGGCCCTGAGATCATCCGATCAGCTGCTTTTGGCTGTTCCTAAAACAAGACTGAAGCTCAGAGGAGATCGGGCTTTTTCAGTCATGGGCCCCAAACTCTGGAACAACCTGCCCCCCAACATCAGGCAGGCCACCTCCCTTATTCACTTCCAATCCCTGCTTAAAACACATCTGTTCTCACAGGCATTTCATACAATGTAAATTGATCTAGTGTTTTTTTTATCTGTGACCCTATGTTTTAAATGATTTTTATTAATTCTTCAGTTATTATTATTAGTGTATTGTATATTATATTTCTCTCCTTACTTTACTCATTGATTGTTGTTGTTGTTAAGCACTTTGATTACAGGCTCTGTTTTAAATGTGCTCTATAAATAAAGTTGACTTGACTTGACTTCGCCGTATACGTCGCATCTATTATGCGTCACTACTGACAACCCAGAAATGTGGGCCGGTGTTGTGCCAAAAATCAATTGCAGCCGCTGGAGTGTGTACGGGAGGACTTGAATAAGAATTTAACAAGATTAACACTTAAAAACAATTATTTGTTTGCTCAAAATTATAGTAAAGGTGTGTCTCAGGCTAACTTTTCCTTAAGAAATGCACTTTGATGGTCAAATCAGCTGCATTTCAAAATCCGATTCCCGGGAGCGCGCCGAGAGACGACTCGCTGTGAATTTCTTCGAAATTCAACAAGATGACCACCTAAAAACAATTATTTGTTTGGTTGAAATTATAGCAGACATGTTTAATGGTCAAATCAGCTGCATTTTGCCGGGGTGGTGCAGCGAAATGAAGCTGATTTGACAGTTGCTCCAGGCATGATCCCAGTGCTGGACGAAAGTGGCAGGCTGTGGCAAGCCGATTGTGTCATTAATAACCACTTTAACCTATTACAACCGCATGCCATGCAACTTGAGTGCCATCTAGCAGCTGAAAATGGTAGTGTTCAATATTTTCAATGTCAGAATAAATGAAAACAGTCATATCTCAGCCAATAATTGGGTTATAAATATGGGGAAAATACATAAATAAGTCGCTTTGGTGTATAAGTTGCAGGGCATGTAAATTATGCAAAAAACCTGCGACTTATAGGCCGAAAACTACAGTAGTTAGAAATATGTAGCTGTCTTAAGTTTCAGAGTTTAGACATGCATCGTATTTGGTGGTAAATATCAGCAGTGAACTGTGCCGTGGAAGTTGTAGAAACAAGTTGCAGCGGTTCATTTTAATGCTCTTTAATTTTGGTTCTTTTGAAAGATTTTCATGCATGTGGATTATTTTTCCTCTCTGAGTAATATGAGCCATGCATTGTCCATGTGTCTGGTTATATTGACATCATTAGAGCAGCACTTCAGAGTTTATTCATACAGAATCTGAGCTGCTGTATCGATTCAGATCAATAAACATTCAAGCACATTTCATCATGCTGAGTCTTTTTTTATGCCACAGCTCAACCCTCATAAAATATTGTTTTGGTGGTTTTAGCACAGATTCAGCTTCACCAACTGGCATCATGTGTTTTTATGTTTATTATCCCAGTTGGGGCCTTATACCAACGACATGTCTCCTTAATGAGGTGAAATTATCCTCGAGTTTGCCCTTTAGGTTGATGCAAATTGACAACTTCCTGTCGTAAAAGTATAACGTCACTTTGCATTTTGTTCAATGTAAGCTGAGCGGATAAAGCTTGCAGAAAGAGTTGTTAGTTTTCTGGTTTAAATTACTACTTGAAGCTTGAATTTGAAATATTAAAAGTCAGTTAACTGACGCAGAAGAACCAAAAGCAGCTGCGTCGGTGCTCTTAGCAAGCGTCTTGGCTCTAAATTTGCTTTAATCGTATTTATGTTCCGTTTAAATCAAGAAATCAAGTGGTTTTCTGTCTTTGTACCTCAAACTGATGAAGTAACCAAACATTTTTTTTTTGTCTAAATCTTTGTCGAAAACAAACTAACTTGTGTATTTAAAAGCATCCACTGTATTTTATTCTTCAGCAAAAACTTCCAACTTGTTTTGTTAAGTTAAACTTCCCTGTTTAATGTTTCTCGCTGTTTCATTTAGCGGGACGAGACAGTCGCCAAACGCAAGAAGCTACCAAACGAGGAGCAGACGGAGGTGCCTGTCACACGGAGCAGGAGGAGAGTGGAGGCGTATCACTGTGACCTGATTGGGGACCAGTTCTGGGACGAACACCCAGACATCCTTGAGGATGATAATTGCTAGCAGCTACTCATCTCATGAACGAGAAGAACTCAGCTCCTCTCCGCAGCGGGTTTGGAGCTGGATCAGTTCGCTTGTTATGACTGTGATCATGTTATAGCAATGATAGTTGATAGATTTTAAAGATTTCTATTTCAAACATGTTTTTAATTTCATTGAGTAGTTTTTACACCATTTTGTTAAAGTACAAACTTTTCTTTGATTCCATGGTGGTGTCCATCATTTGCATTTCGTGCCTTGTCTGGTTCTAAGGTTACTTTTCCAAAAATAAATCTTCGTCTGATATCATGAATGGCATTTAAAATACTACCATCACTTGGATCGTGCAGCATGCATGCGTTCTCTTGACCCACTGAGGAGTTTCAAATGTGACCTTTTTTCATTTTATTTTTTTTTTGCCTTGACTGAATTGTGATATTTGAGGAAGAAAAGTGTTTATTAAAAAAAATGCCATGTTCAGAAGTAAAAAAAAAAAAAAGTGATGTACACATGATCAAAACAAAAATAAACTGGTTTCTTTCCTGTAGCCAAGGCACCATGAATGGATTCGTCGGTCTTCACTGTCATCGCTGCTAAGAATACCTCACACACCCGGCATACACTCGACCCTCTTGACATGTGCGCTGTCGCATATTTATCATCACTCTCATAAATGACCAGCTCAGTGTGAACGGCTGCTGGAACCTTGACTTTGTGGAAGCCAGATCCTGTATTCTGTTTCTGTAGTAGGCTCAGTTACTGTCGACTGTTGCAGCTGTATTTTTGGTTCTGGGAGTTTGTTAAAGCATGTGGCTAAAGTACTTCATGGAACAAGACGTGCACTTTCTAGTGCAACAGTTGGAAACTAAATCTGTTCCCAATAAAAAACAGTCCTGTTTGTTTTAATGAGGCTTCGCTTACACTGTGTGTAAATTCATTTGCTTGGGTTACTGTAACACATCGAGCAGACCGTGACTGAACATTTGACCTAAACACAGCTAACCCTGAAAACGAGAGCATGTTAAGGCAAATGGTACAGTTATTTAAAGATGGAATGCATTTATATATAAATGGCTAAACAGGCTTTGGTATATATGTTGGGCTACAGGTTGGAGTGGGGATAGGGTAGTATAAAAAAATACAATGTTGTGTTTCAGTCATTTAATCTGTGTTGAGAAAATGCGTAGCTGTTTAAGTTCAAACTCCATTCTCATGATTGCACTGTTTTCCTCACATTACATTTAAAAATGGCAACATTTAAAAAAAGATCTCTCAATAATTTAAACCATCACCAACTAACAGATTAATTTTAGCAACACCAGTGAAAGAAAAATACAATCCACTTTTTAATTAACAAACTAGAAATGGATAATCTAAGGTTGTTCAAATGTTGCCTGCAATTTGAATATAATCTCTGATAAAATCACAAAATCTTCCTAAACAGACATTTTTCAGTGTCTACTAACAAACTGAATGCAGCAGCAAGTGAAATAATTTGTTTTAGTTTATTTTGGATTTCATAGAGAAACACTATCAGAAGTTTAAAATACAAGAAGAAGAACAACTGATGCAACCAGTTATCTCAGTTCGGATTTTAATGGTGCATACATGAAAATTTAGGTGTTCTATTGACTTGATAGTTATCCAACCATGGATCATATCTTCTTTTTTCCTCCCTTTCCCACCCAAATTTTCATGTAATGATCAGGGTATTTAAACCGGCAACCAATCATAGATTTGCTCTCTAACCTCTGTGCAACACCACATATTGATAAAACAATTTTGAAATAAAGTAAAACTTTCATTAAAGGAATTATTTCCATGCTGAAGCGACTGTTTTTTGGAGAGTCCAAAAGTAGGCGGGGTCAGATGTGCCACCCCATTATAGCAATCGGAACCTGGCTTGACACAAATACCTGTTTTTAAGTTGTTAGCGTTAACTGAACCTTTGAACTTTTCATTAATTGAACCTCAGTGTAACACCGCATATTGATAAAACCGTTTTGAAATAAAGTAAAACGTTCATTAAAGGGATTATTTCCATGCTTGAAGCTACTGTTTTTTGGAGAATCCAAAAGTAGGCGGGGTCAGATGTGTCAGGGCCTGGCTTGACACAAGTACCTGTTTTTTAAGTCGTTTAGCAGCGACAAGTGAACTTTTACTGTATTCTGTCAAACAATTTTATATATAATTGAGGCTGAATTAGAAAGACAACTTAAAAAAAAGACCTACCTATGTGAGTTCACACTGCAGCTAACTCGTAAACGGCTACGTAGCCTAAAAAAAACATTCTGCATACTGTACAGGTACATTCCATCCAGACTACATTTTACTAAGAATTATAAATGAAGTAATAGATTCAATTGTTTCCTTTTTTGCATAGAGCTTGACATGTTTGCGTTGTGTCTAAAATTAGTCCTCTTTATTGGGTGATTTCAGTATCTCTAGTTGCTCATCTGAACACCATTTCATCACATCCTGGCACAGCTCAGCTGAGTCCACAGCTCTGTCTGTCTGTGGGAGGGGTCGATGAGAACAGTAGCTCTCGGCAGCAGCATCACATTCAGCCGCGGCTTATCGCGATGTCCCACCGGCCACGGGCTCTCCATCTCATCCAGGCTGTTTTCTGAGCCGTCATCTCTTGGTTTAGTCGATCCATTTGTTTGTAGAATGCGTCCTCCTCCTCTCGGAGCTGTTTGGTCTTCTCTTTGTCTTCTACTTTTCTTGCACCGGGTTGTTTCTGCTGCTGCTGCTGGGTCTGAAGCCGGTGTTTATAACGGTGCGTCGGATTCACAGAGCTTTTTGTGTGCATTTGAACGCATCTCGTGTTTGTCAAATATATCCAAAGATTATTGATTTATTAAATATATATATATTTAATCCGAACCGTGCATAATAATGTTTTAGTTTTTATTTGGCTTTCCAAACAGGAGAAATCAAGCAGGCTTCACCAAAGAGCATCTTTGAACACGTACAGAGTTATGAGATTACTTCTCCCATTTGGCTCCATCCTCTCAGGCACAAAAGATCAACCATCAAAGAGGTGAGTAAGACAAAACAATCAAATGGAGCTTTAATTTGATGTAAGTCATCTTTTGCATGATAATTCCCATGCATTTGCTCTTTTCCTGCCAGCATCCTGCAGAGGTCCAGGTCCTGATTTCAGCTGAGGGTCAGGAGCTGCAGCTACATCTGGAAAAAAATGAGTGAGTAACTTAAGGACATCACTGCGTTTCATCATCGCTAAAGATGAAAGGGCGATGCTTTTGCCTGTGTCAGTACTGTGGTGGGTGTTCATTTATCTTCCATGTTAGCAAAATATTCAGTGAACCATTGGATTTGAATGAAACTATCAGAAAGTAGTCATTAAATGCACCTTCAGATGATTAACTTTTGGAGCCAAACCAATTCACGGTGGCCTCCACAGCTTAGCAACAATACAAAATACATTAATAGCTCTATAATAGATAATGAGCTGCAATTTGGTCTGGTGGTTGATGAGAGTTGTTCCCCAACCTATACTCCATCATTTATTGAACACTATCTAGTTTTCTAATTTACCATTGCTACTGGAGTTGATTCTGTTTGATAGCCAAATGGCTCATGAACCATGAGATGGATGAAAATCTCAGAAAGTATTTATTGGATGTACACCTAGAACTGATAACTGTTTGGAATCTTACAAATTCAAGATGTCTGCTACAGCCTGCTAAACTTTGAAAACACAAAAAATGACTATAATACAGCCAGTTTTACAGATACTGAGCTAAAATCTGTTGTGTTAATAGCTTATAATAACCAACACCCACTCAAAGCGCAATACCACACCGTTGCTTGAATCCTGGGCAATTCAGGTCACGCCTCTTCGTGTTAGTCTTATGAACACTGAACAGGTTTTAATGAAACTCTGAAAGTAATCATTTGATGTACCTGTACATCTACAACTGATTAACTTTTGGAGTTAACCTAATTCATGATGGATACCACAGCTCGTGTACCTTAGCACAAACAGAAATATCTGTAACTCAGTTGGCATTAAGGTTCCTGCTTTAACACATACTCTACCTATAGTCTAACATGTCTCGCATGAAATAAGTGCATAACAACATTTACAAGGTTTGACCAAAATCTCTACAACATCATAAATGGTAAATGGACTGTACTTATATAGCACCTTTTTTTTTTTTATCTTATCAAGATACTAAAATGATCTTAGTCTAAAACTCTGGAGAGCAACATTCATTCCTTCAAGGAATGTCGTCTTATGTAACAGTGTCAAATAACAGAATGATGTTTTCGGTAAAATGATCAATTTATTGAACCTTCTTCTTATCAGAACCTGCTTGATAAAACCCTAACAGTCACGTTTCCATCTGATTGCATCAAGTTAGAGTACCAGCCTCTCTGACAGCAGCGAGATGGCCCAGTTTGTTTGACCAGATGTTAGTTGTCACACAGTCTCATTCATAAGGTCAGTGGCCCCCGTGGGTGATGAGGAGGAGGGAGTTTCTGGACGACAGAGGGTTTGACACCCGATCCGTGTGCCTTTGGGCTAACAGGAAGTGAGTTTGTGCCTCGGCACCTATCGTCCTGCAATCTGCTGAAGCAGTTCCTGTCCAGAAACAATGGGATGGTGCTGGGCAGACACCGTGATAGCAGGGAGGTGTTTATCACTTGGATTTGAGCCAGCGCACAAGTAGACAGAAGGTCTTTATGAGCATTAGTTCATTTTTCCCCTCAAGTGTTTGCTGTTTCTGGCGTTCTGAATACCATGACTCCAGTGTGTCTGACTGAATGCCCCCCACCACCACCTCTCCAATGGATTCCCCATTCTGCTTTATCTGCCCAGCAGGTGGTCTCACTGTTAGTTCTCCCACTGGACAAGGATTTCCATCCATCACACGGCCACACGTGTGTGGTAAGAAAACAGCAGGGAGGATGAATGATGAAGTTCATGTGAGAGGTCTTTTGATAAAACGTGTACAGTCTGTTCTTTAAAACAAGATTGAGAAGGTGTTCACCGATGAGGAAATATTGAAAAAAAAAAATGTTCCAAGAAAGAGGAAATTGTTGTTTTGCAACGACAAGGACAAAAAATAAATTTAAAAAAGCCTGTGCTCAGCTGATTATGTTGTTTAAAACAGGATAAGATTTGAACATTTAGTTCAAAACAACAACAAAAAAACTATCAAAGTTTTTTTTTTTTTAACTCCAATAATGTATTTGGATGCATGTCACGTTGTATAAAATGATCTTTGAGTCAATCTAATCAAACTAAATTTCTTGACTCACAAGTGAATTGGTAAAAAATAGAAGTGATTGCGTTTTAAACACTTTTATTTAGTGGTTTTGCTGTTTATTTTTGTTGTTACTTTCATTTTTCTCAATTTTATTTGACTTTTTTTGTACAAATCTAAAATTGCACACACCACATGTTGTCTGCAGCTGTGATTGTATTGACAATTTCAAATAAAGTTGTTAACTACAATCATAATTTGAGGTTTTATATTAAGTTTTAGTTCATTATTCAAGGTTTAATTTGCTCTCATTTCTCTCGTAGCTGTGGTTTTCAATCACAGCTACGAATTAACTTACTAAGGTTGTTTTTTTCTTCCAGCTATAGAAGTGACAAAAAAAGCAAATAAAATACGCTGAAATTTTAGACATGAATGCAGATAGCACCAAATTAATTTTAAAGTTGCTCTAAAAACAAAGTATACAAGAACGTCTACAATTTACAATACGTTTTTGTTTACTTCTTCAAGGCTTTCTTTCTTTAAATGATTGTAAAATGGTCCATTTTACATCATTTCATCATTAAGTCATAACAGGTCTCTCTTATAAATGAGTCCTCGAGGCTCAATGAGACTAACCTGTTTAAATAAAGGTTGAATGAATGAAAAAAAAAATGCCATGAAATAATCAAGTTCTGTCTAAAACACAAAACGATTTAAAAAAAAAAGTTTTAAAATATATATATAAAAGGAAAAAATGTGTTTTTAAACTACAAATATTAATCCATTGCTTTAGGTTTGCTTCATTCAGAACAGAAACCTCAGTTTTCCGTGTGGAAAAACTGAAAACCTTTGATTTTATTTTATTTTTTTTGTCCTTTTGATGAAGGTTGTTGCACTTGACTTAGAACAAACTAAGCCTTAAAGATTGTTCAGATCATTTTATCCTGACCAGATTGAGGAGCTAAAGCCTAGTCTGAAAAAGGCCAAGACTAAAGTGTACTGATGATGTTTAAAACAACTTTAATAAAAAAAAGTCATAATGGGTTATGTGGCTGCTGTTTGGTATTTCACTGCCATCACATTGCACAGTTAATACTTGAGAAATATTAACATATTTCTGCTCTAGGCTGTAGTCAGAGTGCAATAACTACCTTTGGCTGCTGCTGTTTGAGTTTGTGAAAAGCATGAAGTTCTATATAAATACATTACTTGACCCTGACATTGTTGTAAATGTTTATACACTGCCTGGCCAAAAAAAGTCGCCACCAAAAAAAAAGGTCACACACTAATATTTCATTGGACCACCTTTAGCTTTGATTACATCATGCATTCACTGTGGCATTGTTTCGATAAGCTTCTGCAATGTCACAAGATCTATTTCCATCCAGTCCATTAATTTTTCACCAAGATCTTGCATTGATGACTAGACACTAGGCATGATGGGTGCATCACTTCACCTGCCTCTCTTCTTACCCTGATGCGCCCATCACTCTTGAACAGGATAAATCTGGACTCATCAGACCACATGACCTTCTTCCATTGCTCCAGAGTCCAATCTTTATGCTCCCTAGCAAATTGAAGCCCTTTTTTTTTCTGGTTAGCTTAAATGATTAATGGTTTTCTTAAAGCTACACAGCTGTTCAGTCCCAATCCCTTGAGTTCCCTTCACATTGTGCATGTGGAAATGCTCTTACTTTCACTATTAAACATAGCCCTGAGTGCTACTGTTGTTTTTCTTCCATTTGATTTCACCAAACGTTTAAGTGATCGCCGGATCAGTCAGGATTTTTTTCTGTCCACATTTCTTCCTCCAAAATGATGGATCCCCACTATCCTTCCAGTTTTTAATAATGTGTTGGACAGTTCTTAATCCAGTTTTAGTAGTTTCTGCAATCTCCTTAGATGTTTTCTCTGCTTGATGCATGCCAATGATTTGACCGTTCTCAAACAGACTGACATATTTTCCACGTCCATGCGATGTGTCTTTCGACATGGTTGTTTAAGAAATGAGAAGCAACTCATTGCACCAGTTGGGGTTAAATAACTTGTTTCCAGCTGAAAGATAATCATCCATGCAGTAATTATCCAATAGGAGGCTCGTACCTATTTGCTTAGTTATTTCCAGATGGCAACTTTTTTTTGGCCAAGCAGTGTATGATGGAGTTGAACCACCATGAAATTTTTGCAATTGAAAGTGTTTTGAAAGGACAACAATCCACCTTCGTTCTTGGCTGTGCTTGGACTAGTCCTTAGCTTGTCAGTGTCAGTGTTTATCCTACCATTACATTACATAACAAATCACCAAGTGGTTATTAACATAGAGGAATAGCCTAAAAATTAACTCTAAAGATAGGCTATTATACAGATGAACAAACATATTTTTAGAGCAAAATTATTTGGAAAAACATAGAACAAAGCTATTTTAATTGAACATGCTGCTCGCTTTGGCTTTTGTAGCTTCAGGTGCTGCAACTTCTTCCACGGCAGATGACAGCAGGGTGCGGAGCGAGACGCACGTGGCCGATGATCCAGTGATCCATCGGTAGCTTAACGGGACTTTTTTTCTTTTACCTCTTTCATTCGCCAGTCGGACTTGAGCGTGCACCTGATCCGACACACATCAGCAGGTTTCACTGTTCTGATTTTGTAGAGTGAGCTCTCCCATTTTTAGCTTTTCTTTAGTACTTTCAAGCTCCATTATGTCGCTTGTTATGGGTCAATAGCAAATCCTCAGATGTGTGATAAGAGGCGGAAAGCAGGGTGGGCGGGGCCACATTTGCAATTGCTGAGCAATGCGCCAGCACTACTCTCTTTTTTCACAGTCTGATTAACTGCTGCACTCTATTTTATGTCTGTCCTCATCCTCAGTAAACTTACTGCCTCCTCCTCTACAAGTAAATTAACACAATTTTATATCATGCATTCTTATTTAGTTTTCTTTGTGCTGTATGATTTGTAAAACCGCATCA